TCATTTTGGTGCAAATATCTAGAAACTTTATTCAAGTCATACGATTTCTTTGTAACAATTACTTCATCAAGACGAAGAATCACTTCTCTTTCTAAACTATCCCTGGCCTCTTCTGGCAGCTTGTCCGTTAAGTTAATTAAATCAACCAGTATATCAATAAATGATTTTGCTCATTTAGAAATTCAAAGATTAAACCCCTTTCCAAGACGAGCTTAACATTAGCAACCACCTATGGTGAATACATCTCATATAAATAATTTACTGGTAGCCTCGAAATTCTACCTACACGAAAAATGACTTACGAACTGCCGGTCTAACGACCAACTTGTACACCAGGCTAACTGACCAATGAATGACCCTAAACTTAAACGATTGGTTGCCTCTCCAAATTCTCTTTTCTTTCCATCTCATCTCTTCCCCTTCTCTTTTCTTGCTTTCCTTTTCTTCTCTTTCATTTTTCTTTTCTTCTCACCTCATCTCTTTTCTTTTCTTTTCTTTTTTCATCGCTTCTCTCCCATTCCCTTCTCTTCTATTATCTTCTCTTTCTATTTTCTTTTCTTATCATCTCTTTTCTTCCATTCCTTTATCTTCTCCTTCTCTTTTATTTTCTTCTTATCTCATCTCTTCTCCTACTCTTTCTCTATTCTATTCCTCATATCTCCTTCTCTTTTCTTCCAATCCTTTATCTTCTCTTTCTTTTTTATTTTCTTCTTATCTCATCTCTTCTCTTACTCTTCCTCTTTTCTTCTCTTCTCTTCTTGTTCCCTTTTCTTCCCTTCATTTATCTTCTCTTTCTCTTTTCTTTTTTTCCGATATCATCTTTTCTCCTACTCTTTTTTCTTACCGTCTATTAAGGATTGGCAGCTGTCCGCCGGAGAGCTGGAACAGGTGTCGCTAGTCGCCGAGGCCTGGCTGTCGCTGGCGCAAGTCTACGCGAGCGGCTCGAGTCCTGTTCCGGCGGGGAACACGACTGTCCTGGACACGGCGCCAGGACTGCTGCCTGTGATGGCGAATCTGCACTGCCGGGGACTCGAGGACGACCTACTCGACTGTCCGCACGAGGTGGTGCCGGGAGGGCACGTGGCGGGGGACGGAGCAAGGCTTTGCGGTGCCCCGAGCACCTACACCGCCTGGGCCGAGGCACCGGAACCGGCGTCCCGACAGGGCCGACAAGGCCCGTCGACAGATCGGCTTGTCGGCCTGCGCTGTCACCGACCCGGATGGGCGGGACTCCGACTTGCCGCCACTGGGGGCTCGGTAGATTCACGTATTCAATGGCTGCGCGTCGGGCGAGCCGGACTCCTCGATGCTGCACGTCGTCAATTTGTGGCGGCCGTCCAGATGGACTACTTTGCCGGACGAGTGGAGCAGATTGAGGCAAGGCGATCCCCCTCCTTCCGATTGGTTTATTGGGGGCCTACTGGCCTCTGGGCGGGATACAGGCCGGTCATATTGCGGCTAGACAGATGCTGAGGACGGTTTCACTTCACGCCTCTCTGTCTCTCCCTGAGTCTAGCACTCAAGCATACTAGGCATATTCACAACCAGTAAAAGGAACTGAAAAGACATAAAAATTCATTTTAGATGGACATACAATGGTTATATGGGTTACTTTTCATGTGACTTGCTTTATGGTTTGTGCGTGTGCCATTGGCCCACGACTGTGCTAGCTCAATCCGGTAAGTATGTATAGTTGAGATGATGAGCTTAACTGATGCATACAAGTGATTTTGATGTCGTTAAAAGTAATAGTTGGATCCCCTCTCCTTTTCCAACAAACACACATGCACGCATTGTCTCTCTTTCTACGTGATTCTGGCAATCCATCAAATTTGGCATCTCACTACCGGTAAAAGCGCCAGAATAAATTGTCGTTGTTTGACCATTTTTGCGCAACTTGGTCATATTGCTGGGAAGACTTATAGGAACGCATCTAGTCCGGAGTCCATTGTATGCATTGTCATTCCCAAAATCGGACCGTGGATGTGGTACATTCCCAGACCTTTCGCCGGCATCGTCAGCGAGCCATGCCATTCTCAGTACCACACAAACGTGTGCTAAACAGTTGTGGTATGCCTCCTGTAATGGGCTAGTCACCTCTCCCATATCCTGGCATTATGCATTCACTATCACAATAATTTTTTATTT